GCACAACTTGTCCATTTGCGGCACCAGTCCTCGACATCGTCACGACAGTGGACCCAGTAAAACCGTTCTCGGATCTTCAGGAGAGTTCGTTTAACTCTCAGGTGGCCTCCTGAACAACCACTATGGTACAGCTGTAGAACATCCGGCACTTTAGCCTTAGGGACAACCATTTGCAAATGACACCTGTCTCCCCGACCATTTTCCCATTTACGGCACAGGACTCCATCCTGAATCAGCAAGCTGTCCCATTGGGCCCAATAGCTTTTCGTGGTCGAACTCATTGCTGAGACGTTGCTCCACTTGGGCTTAGGGGCACTGGCCTTCATGCATTCCAGAATCGGCTTAATGTCCGAATCTTCCTGCTGTGCATGTTGTAGGCTGTCCTTCCATTCATTGCTGAGCTGGTCTGTCCTGAATATCCTCGCAGATACCACTTCTTTACCCTCTTGCCTAGTACAATTTTTGCAATCTTCAGGGCAAGGTCTTCTTGATAATGCATCTGCATTGCCATGAGATTTCCCGCTGCGATGTTCGATCACAAAGTCGTATTCCTGTAGTAGTTCAATCTATCTCGCAACTTGTCCTTCCGGATTTTTGAACTGCAATAGCCAGTTCAGTGCAGCATGGTAAGTTCGTAAGTAGAATTTCCGCCCCAGGAGATATTTGCTAAAATGCTGCAAGGCCTTTACCACAGCAAGCAATTCCCGTCTTGTGACACAATAGTTCCTTTCCGGCTTTGACAACGACTTGCTGAAGAACGCTATCACAATCTCTTGATCACCATTCCGTTGAGACAACACACCGCCAAGTCCTGTATCACTTGCGTCTGTGTCAACTATGTATTCCTTGCCCGCATCGGGGTACCCCAAAATAGGTGTTTTGCACAGACGGTTCTTGAGCTCCTGGAATGCAATATCGCAACTTTCATCCCAGCAGAAATGTCGCTTCTCCTCGGTTAGCTTGTGCAGAGGTTTGGCTATATCTGCAAAGTTCTTCACAAATCGCCGATAATAAGAGCACAAACCCAAAAATGCTCTAACCTGTGTCTTGTCTTTTGGAACCGGTCATTCCTTGACGGCGGCAATTTTCTCTAGATCCGTGCGGATACCTTCTTCCGACACTACATACCCCAAAAAACTAACTTGCCGTTTGAATAGTGAGCACTTCTTCGGACTCAACTTGAGGTTGGCACTCTGGATCTTCATGAGCACGCGTTCCAGATTTTGAAGGTGTTCCTCAAACCTACAGCCTACGATGATGATGTCATCCAAATAGACCAGACAGGCATCTCCAATTAGCCCGATAAGTACAAGCTCCATCAACCTTTCAAACGTTGCTGGAGCATTGCACAATCCAAACGGCATGACTTTAAATTGCCACAGACCCTTTCCTGTGGAGAATGCAGTTTTCTCCTTGTCCTTAGGGTCAATTTCAACCTGCCAGTAGCCACTTTTCAGGTCCAGCGTACTAAACCACTTTACGCCTGTAAGCATGTCCAGCGTGTCATCAAGTCTTGGCAAGGGGTAGCTGTCCTTCTTCGTAACGTCGTTCAGGCGGCGGTAGTCAACACAAAACCGCATGCTGCCGTCTTTCTTCTTTACCAGCACCACAGGTGAACATCATGGACTAGATGAAGGTTCAATAACACCATCTTTCACCATTCCCTCAATCATGGTTTCCTCTTCCTTTTCACGTGCTACAGGCAATCTTCTTGGCCGCTGACGAATAGGCAATTCTTGTCCTGTGTTTATTTTGTGTTGAAATAAGCCAGTCTTTCCTATGTCAGCTTCGTTTGACGAGAAAACATTGGCGTACTTGAGTAACAACTTCTTCGCTTTGACCGTTTCATTCGGGGAGAGAACGCTGCGACAGTCTTCTAAAAGTGTGGTCACTCTAGTTTGTCCATCCTTGCTGGGGGTCCCAATCGATAGATATTGGCACTGACGCAACCAATCCACTTCCTCACTAGTACCAACCAATGTGCCTTTTTCTATAATCTTTTCCTGATCACAAAGGTTCAGCACACGTACTCCTGAGATGTCAGCGGTTCTGACCAAGGTTCGAGCCACTTTCCATGGAAGGTCATTGTCTACCCTTTCCACGAGTACACAATGAAGAGTTTGCCCAGGATTCCATGGAAGTCTAACCGGCACAATCGTTTCCGATCTCGGCGGAAGAACAATCTTCTTAAGGCTGTACACATTCCCTGGTAACGCCCCTTCCACGAAATGTTCCTCTTGTCCACATTTCAAAATACCTTGCTTAATGTCGATCTCACTTCAATTCTTCCTCATAAAGTCTAGGCCCAGGATGCAGTCGTCCATTATATCAGCCACGATGACATTATGTAGGTAGATCATGTTGCCTAGCTTCAACTCCATCTCCTTCTCTCCACGGACGGGTATGCGCTGACCGGTGGCTGTCACCAAATTAATGCGTTCGCGGTTGTATGCGGAGTCCCCAAGAAACTGATTTATAAGTTGCGAACTGACAACCGTGCAAGAGGATCCAGTGTCTATGGTCAGTTTACACGGCTTTCCGTTGACCTCGCCCTTGATGATCAGGCTGTTTCCATCACGGGTTTGTGAGATCGAAATCCTTGGGGCTCTTTTAACATCAGCCAGTACCCGCCAGTTTCCCTGCTGCTGCTGGGCGGTGCTGTCAGCCACACTATATATATAGATCGATCACCTTCCCTTTCTACAGTTCGTTTAGGGTAGCTGGATCGAAGATGGCCCCTTTCCCCACAGCCGTAGCACCTAGGGCTGTAGCCCTTATTGCGGTCCTTATCTGTAGCTGCTGCAACGTCCCTGACGCTGTGGGAACGATGATCCTGCCGCACCGCTTCCACCTCCAGTGCATGGGTCAAGGCGTCCTTAAGCGTCCTGTGGTGCCCGAGTCTCACAGCAGCTCCGACTTCGAGGTCGCGGATGCCGTCGATGAATGTCTGCACCAGGTTTCCTACAATGAGCGCAGGTACAGACTGGTACGCTTTTCGAACCAGCTTCTCCACCTCAAGGGCCCACTGCTGCAGGTTTTCGTTACTGCGTTGCACGCGATCTTTGAGCTGCGCACGAAAGACGTGTTCCAGGTGAGCGTCGCCATATCTCGCCTCCAATGCCTCAAGGAGCTGCTCGTAAGTCACTTCCTTACCGAGAGCTTCCAGAACAGTTAAGGCCTGGTCGCGTAGGCCTAGGGTGAGAGCAGTCATGGCCTTGCTTTTATTCCAGCCATTCGCTTTCATGACAGCCTCGAACTGGATTTTGTAGGCCGACCAGGAAGAAGTCCCGTCGAACGGTGGCACTTTGAATCCACGTAGCGAAGGTGTTGTAGCTACCACGGGAGCTGTAACTCCATCCCTAATTTTAAGGTCGTTCAGCGTTTTCTTCACGTCAACCATCACGTTGTCAACCCGATTGTTCACTTGGTCGATTCGGGTTTCAGCTTCCTACAGGCGGTTTTCATGTTGAGCAACCCTATCCTTCACCTTCCTTATCTCTTTCCCGAAGGTAGCGTGAAGGTCCTTCATGAGAAGAAGCTGCTCTTCCAAACGACGGCCCTGTTCCTCCTGTTGGCGGGCCTGTTCCTCCTGTCCGCGCTGCAGCTGCTCTTCCCACCGACGGCCCTGTTCCTCCTGTCGGCGGGCCTGTTCCTCGTGTCGGCGAGCCTGATACTGCAACATCATCATCAGAGCACCTAAGTCAGGTGCTGCAGATGCAGGAGCTGCTGACGGGCCGGCCTCCGTGGTCAGCATCTGGCCCTCCGACGTTTGCGGCGTTCGGGTACGCATACCCTCCATGTCGTCCTTTGGTAAAATCGGCATGATTTGATCCCACTTCTGACGCCAATTGTTACAAGCTTGGGGTTCGAGATAATTAAAAACTGCCGATTGAATTACCAAAATTGACACTTTAATTACACAACACTAATTACAATCTAAAATCACACTAATAATAAAACACATTTCGCCGTTATTTCGCTTCGAAGTATTCTCTTGTATCGCCAATTCAATACTGCCCCGGTCGTGGTCTACACCGGCCTTATATCGGGCCTCAGATAGTTTCCAGAACCTTATACTGTAGCGACATCTAGAATGTTCGAGTACATATTGGTCCCGAAATTTCTGGAAGGATCTCGACTCTCCTAGTTCTGCTACTCGACACTAGAGGGCACTAGTGTAACTAGTGTTGCCATGTACAAGACATTAATAGTGGCGCGCAACACTTTCTTTTACTCGACACTAGAGGGCGCTAGTGTAACTAGTGTTGTTATGTACAAGACATTAATAGTGGTGCGCAACAATATTCATGCAATCCACAATTTACTACAGGGTCAGCGCCTTGTAAGTATTAAAACGACGCGTCCATTAATAAATAGCAAACAACGTATTTGTCTTAGGCATGGGTAAAAAATAACGATATATCGAAATATCGATATTTTTAATAAATATATTGATATATATATAAGACAATTCGTGTAATTTATAGGGAATCGGTGAAATAAACGTTTGTGTTGCTCTGAAAAAACAAAGTTTTATTAGTATAAATTATTTGTACATTTGTATTTTTCACTTAACTACACCTTACAATAATCACTAAACATACCTGAAAAAACAAAGAAACGACATTAAAAGTTATTACACTTGTCGATTCCCTTTATTAGTTATTTTATTATTATCCGATTGTTTACGTGTTTTACAATTTTAACATTTTACTGACGCCATCTTCGAAACCGTCTGCTTTATCTACAGTCCACTCAAATACTTTGACAGCGCCATCTATCAAGTAGCGAAGTAAATTGTTTCTGCTTTATCGACTAACCATAAAAGAATTTAATAAACAATAACAAAACTTAAAGAAATGTAATTTCTTTACAACTCCTCCCCCAGGGCAGAAAATTTCATCGAAATTTTCGGTAACAATACCTAAACTTACTTACAATTATTATAATAGTTATAACTAAATCACACTCGTTGTACATCATGTTCTTAACTCGGTTCTTTATTTAGGAACTGGAATGAGCTTTGTGACGTGAAAAAGGTTTGACTCGGATTTTCTGTGTCCTGTATCTATTCTATATATTGAAGATGATATTTTTTCTTCAATTTTAAAAGGTCCAATCCTTAGCTCATCCAGTTTTTTCCTATTTAATTTATGTCCATTCTCAACATATACTAAATCACCCCTATTAAAACTATAGTCTTTTCTTTTTCTGTCAATCAACATTTTATTATAGTTATGAGATTTTATTGTATTTTGTAACGCTTTTTTCCTATCTTCAATCCATTCCTCTATTCTTTTGCCTTGTTTTAATTCATTTGGCACAATTGTAACATCTGTCCCATCTAGTAGGTATCTCGGTGCGAAACCGGTGACCGTATGCTCCGTGTCGTTGTATTTACTTACGCAGTTATGAGCAATTGTTGTCCATGCTATGGTGTTAGGTTTTTCATTTATCTGGCATCTTATTTTGTTGACCAGCGTTTGATTTAATCGCTCATTTAAGCCATTTGAAAATGGTGAATTTACTGCGGTGAAAACTAGCGCAATTGATTTGTCATTCAAAAACGTCTTAAGCTCCTTTGAATTTATTCCAGGGTACTGGTCTGCGAGAATAATATCGATATCATTTAAGTTCGTTATATTACTAACCAGTTTTATGAAGTCCTTTGCATTCTGTGTCTTCGAGGTTAGTATATATGCGTAACGAGTGAAGTGATCCACTAGAAGATGTAGATATCTCTTCGTCGACCGCGAGCCTCCGAAGCCTCCAATTGTGTCTATGGAGATAATTTCAAATGGTTTTGTGGCGGGTCCTAGGTGTGACACTAGGCCATATTTAGCTTGTCCTCTTGTTTTATTCTTTATACATATATCGCAAGTTTTACAAATATTATTTATGTTTGCTGTTAATTTTTTTGCTGTATATCTTGTACCAATTGCTTTTTGCATCTGTCTTACACCTATGTGACACATATTTTCATGAATATTTTTTATAAATTTTATACTGAAATCTTCCGACAGTATTATTTTTTCCTGTTTTTTTACTTTTTTATAAAATATGTTGTTTTTGTATGTCAAATTATTCTTGTTATCATGTATATCTTTATTTTTCTCTTGATCTGTGATGATATCTTCTAATTTTACTAAATTTACTATTTTTAATTGTTCATCAATATCTTCATTTTCATTCAGTACCGGGTTTCTGCTTAAGCAATCTGCTTCCAAATTTTCTCTACCTGGAGCATATTTTATCTGAAAGTCATACTGCGATAAATAATACACTAGTTCTCCCAATTCTTCATCAGGTCTAGATTTAACATTCATGTTCTCCAACGGTTTGTGATCTGAATATACTGTGAATGGTTTCCCTATTAACCAATATTGCCAATATCGTACTGCTTCTTTAATAGCCAGACATTCTAAGTATATTGCTTTCTTCTTCTTTTGGGATTCATTTAATTTTCTTGAAAAATAGGCTACTGGCTTTTCTTTTCCGTCTGGCTGAATTTGTTTTAGCACTGCTCCAATACCTTCCAATGATGCATCTGTGTATATATTTACTGGCAAGTTTTGATCATAAATTTCCAAGATGGGTTGTGAGCAAAGTAAATCTTTTATTTCTTCAAATGAATTTTTACAGTCCGTTGACCAAATGAATTTTTGATTTTTCCTCAGTAAATTATATAGGGGCTCTAATATAATTGTGCTCTTGGGTATGTATTCATGGTAGAAATTAATTTTCCCCAAAAATTGTCTGACATTTTTCAGAGTTTTTGGCGTAGGGAATTCTCTTATTGAAATTAAATTATCTCTGACTGGTCGAACTGTATTATTTTCTATTATGTGTCCAAGATATTTTACAGAATTCGACGCAAACGTACATTTTGTAAATTTTAGTCGAAATCCTTCTTGTTTTATTGCTTCCAGTAATTGTGATAAATGGTTTATATGTTCATTATAAGACTTTGAAAACACCAGGATATCATCTATATAATTAACTGTAAAATCAGTTAATTGATGTTTTCTTAGTATGTTGCTCAGGATTCTTTGAAATATTGCGGGAGAGGTTTTCAAGCCGAAGGGTAGACACGTCCATTGAAAGTGGCCTTCTTGTGTAACAAAAGCTGTTTTTTTTCTGTCTTCAATTCGCAGTGGGATGGACCAAAATGCAGAGTTAATATCTAATGTTGAGAAGTACTTGCAGTTTCTTGTTTTTATTACCAAGTCTTCAATTAACGGGAATGGTTGAGCTTGTGGTGTTACTATTTTATTGAGATCTCTGAAATCAATACATAATCTGTTTCTTTTATTATCTTCTTTCTTAAAAGCTAAAGTTACAGGTGCTGCAAACGGGCTGTATGATTCTTCTATAAGATTTTTTTGAAGTAATTTTGCCACCTGTTCTTCTATCTCTTTTTTGTCCTCCATTGAACATCTATAGGGCCTTTTACTACAGTATTTGTCCGTTAGGAGGTCGATATGTGCTTCATAGTCTCTTACTGTTCCAATGTCGTATTTATCCTTCGCAAAACTCGATTTATATTTGTCAATCAGTGTATTTATTTCAAATTCTTGTTGAGCATTTAAATTACCCATTTTTATCTCAAAATTTTTTTCATTTACATGTTGATTGAAATTTATAGAGAATTTATTAGAGTAAAATTGTGCATTACTCTTACCTTCCTTAGAAGTCAATTTCTCATTTAGTTCCATATCAGTGTTGTCTTTGGTTTTTTGTGTGATTTCCAGGTTTTCATTCTGAACTAATCTAAACTCTTTTATCATGTCTAGTCCAATAAGGAAATCATATTGAAAATCTTTTCCATCCACAATATACACGTCGCATTTTTTTTCTATGTTTAGTATTTTAATCTTTATTGTTGTCAAACCTCCTGTACTCTTCACACCATTAATTGTTACTAAATTTGCATTACTAAACTCTCTTTTTCCTTCTTCTTGTTTTAGTTTTACTAATTTGGAATTAATCAAGGACACATTAGATCCTGAATCATATATGCCAAAAACGTTTAGTTTTTCATCTAATGTAAGTTTGACTTTGATTAATGGTGTGATTGTTAGTTTTTTGGATCTTTATCATTTAATTCAAGATCTAATATAGTATTGTTTATATTCCTGTAGTGATTTCTCTTGTTTTCTTGTTGCTCACTTTTTTTAAACCAGCATTTTTCTTCTGGGTGATAACGAGTTCCCTTGTTCAAATTTTCACAGATTTTGCATGCTTGATATTTATCACATTTTCCTTTATTTTCAAATGTGTCTCGTTTTGGTTTATAGTAGGTATGTTTATTTGTTGTATGCTCAAATTTACCAATTTCATTGAAAAGACTTGCAGTGGATGTAATAGATTCCTTATCAATTTTGCCCAATATGTAATCTGGTAGGCCAGTTGCGATAAGATTTATCATAGTCTGTGTATCTATGTGTTTATTTACCTCTAATAACAGCCTTTCCTTTTTCGTAGCATATTCCAGTGCTGAACCCGCTTGAAATTTATAGGCAAATGCATATTTAACCTGTGACCAACCTTTATTTCCGTATGTCTCAGTAAAGTTATTTTTCCAAACAGTCCATTCTGAATTTACAGTGAATTTTATCAACATACTAGTGTACCAATCATGGCATTGTTTCTCTAGTAGATGCTTTAAAGTCTCAATTTTCTCTGTATCCTGTAGTATTTCGAATCGTTCACACTCATTCTCAAATTCACCTATCCATTGATTCACATTGGAATTTTTTCCTGAAAATTTCTCAATTAAAAATTTTTCAGATGTTTTCCCTAGGTTTTTATTTCCAGACCCGACGTCGCAGTTTTTGTGAACTAGTGGTCTGGATTCCTCTGCAATTTCATCTAAATATTGATCTCCAAACTGCAAATTTTCGCCTTCATCTAAATAGATTTTTTTCAATTCCGGAGATAATGGAATCCACAATTTACGTATTTGATGTCTTTTTTTTAGAGAATTCTTGACCTTCGTGAATACCTCTGTGCTCACAATACTCGTGTGTTTGCTTGCAGGCTTCATTTCGTCCGGAACATTATAATTACGTCCATCGGGTGTTTCAATTGAGGTTATGCAGATTACATTTGTTTTGCCATCACTTGCCGCTAATACCGCAAAAGTAAATCTTAACTTCTCCATTTTCTTTAACTAGAAATGTCGTTTTATAAGACAATTCGTGTAATTTATAGGGAATCGGTGAAATAAACGTTTGTGTTGCTCTGAAAAAACAAAGTTTTATTAGTATAAATTATTTGTACATTTGTATTTTTCACTTAACTACACCTTACAATAATCACTAAACATACCTGAAAAAACAAAGAAACGACATTAAAAGTTATTACACTTGTCGATTCCCTTTATTAGTTATTTTATTATTATCCGATTGTTTACGTGTTTTACAATTTTAACATTTTACTGACGCCATCTTCGAAACCGTCTGCTTTATCTACAGTCCACTCAAATACTTTGACAGCGCCATCTATCAAGTAGCGAAGTAAATTGTTTCTGCTTTATCGACTAACCATAAAAGAATTTAATAAACAATAACAAAACTTAAAGAAATGTAATTTCTTTACATATATCGTCGATATTTTAAATCGCGATATATCAAAATATCGATTTTTATTTTAGAGTTTCGAATTCGTATCAATTTCGATATATTTTAAAATGTTCGTTTTTTTCGTCATCCAACCGTCAGTTGATAAAATTTTGTCTTATCTTTACATCATTCAAATGATGACGATATATCGATATTAATCACGCGATATATATCGATACTGTTTAAAAATATAGATTCAATGTATATCGATATATTTTTTCCCTTTGCCCATCCCTAATTTGTCTCTATTTTCATGTCACTTCGTAGAATACTAACATACCTACTTATTGTAGAAACCTCCAGTTAAGCTTAGGTACAAAATATCGATATATCGATACTTTGTCATAAAATATCGATATGTATCGTCGACATTTTTAATCGTGATATATCAATATATCGATATTTATTTTAGAATATTGAATTCGTATCAGTTTCGATATATTTTAAAATGTACTAATGGACAAAACATGAAGGAACAAAAGCAGCTACAAAGTAAAAGTTGTGCCTTATCCTAGTAACACGCAATAAACAGGTTATTTTGCAATAACCAGCCAATTTTGCAGACAAGGTACAGAATAAGTAATATAGGCAGATGTTGAAGAAAAATTAATTAATACAATCTCAAACATTCTGTCCTTTTTATATTGATAATTTCAAATAAAAGTAAAAATATGGATGTAATATGGAAACTTCATTATCATCATGATTTCTTATACTTTACGCGAACACTACACATTGAATAAAACTCTTACTGATTTTATCACGTTTAATTTACTTATTTTAATTCTCGACGTTTCGGATCCCTGTAAAGCACTCGATGCTTGGGATCCTATAATTAACAAAATTAAATCGAAACCCAAGCATACCACTGCAAGACTTCAAGATACTGTAAGCTCATTCTGCGTAGATCGAAACAAAAATTAATATTAAAAATTGAAGGTAGCAGGGCTAACTGTGACATTGGGACGTCAAATATCTCAGTCCCCCCTCTGACCATGGGTTGCTGTAAAGCACCCGAAATGTCAGGAATTAAAACAAGTAAATTAAACGCGATAAAATCCGTAAAATTAGTTTTATTCAATTCATTATTATCATCACCTTAACAGCCCTTCACAAGTCCACTGTTAAACATTGGCCTCCTCCAAGGAATGTCACAAAGCACGGTTCAGAGCTACCTGCATCCATCTACTTCCTGCACATCTTACCAGGTCGTCACTCCATCTAGTGGGGAATCTCCTACACTACGCCTACCGGTACGAGGCTGCCACTCGAGAACCTTTTTTCCCATCGGTTTTCCGTTGTTTTTGTTTCAGCTTACTAATCCGTTGGGTTATGTCGGTCGCTATAGTTCTACTGCAAATGTCGTCATTTCTAAGTATATCACACATAGAAACTTAGCTTAGTCTTCTCTAGACAACGTTTGAGATCTAAAACTCATCACTGGCAACACGAGTCGTACAATCTCGTCTTCAAGTTTTAAGTATACCTAACGAGACGATATGTCGTAACTTCCCGAACGCTGTCCAGCCGAATTGAATCCGTCGATTGTCCTAACGGCCGAAGTTGAACTTACCTAGTCGGACTATTAGTCCGAGGTAAACATACTTGTCAACAACTTCGAGCTTAGTGCTCCCAACAACTACTGACATTGATGTGACACGGACGTTGGACATGATCTATGATTTGTCATATGATGATTCATCTTCAGAAATATCCGTTGGGAGACATTGGGCATTCATGCATGGACATACATGGTTCTCCAGCGATTCTGCTATTAGGACTATATCGTTGGCAAATCGAAGGTGAGCGATGTACTCACCATTGAAGTTAATACCATATTCTTTCCAGTCCAGTAGCTTGAAAACATCTTCCAATGCAGCGATGTAGAGTTTCAGGGATATAACGTCACCCTGACGTACATCTCTCTGCAGTTGGTTGGGTTTCGTACTGTTGTTCTGTACTCAGATAGCCATTGTAGCCCTACTGTACAAACATTTCAGAACTGCGATTTACCGACAGTCAACTTGGCACCGCTGAAGGGACTATAGCACTACCCAAATTTCGACGGAATCAAAGGCTTTCTCATAGTTCACATACGCAAGGCAAGATTTTACTCTTCGGTCTTCTTTACAACTTGGCGAAGGGTATGTATGTGGTCTGTGGTGCTAAAGCCTTTTCGGAAACCGGCTTTTTTATAGGATAAGGGTGACAAACGAGCACACAGTCTACCTGATGGTAAGTGGTTGCTGTGGCCCATACATCTACATCTATCTTCGATTACGAATCAAAAGGCAGATGCGTTGTCACCCGTGAGGACTAAGATGGAATGTCTCATTTCCAGTAAAATACATGTACATAACACAATACATAAAACAATACATGAAATAAATTACAGAATAGCATGTAGACGCGGTTCAAAAGGGAAATCGGTCTGTAGTTTTTCAAGAGAACGTTGTCGCCTTTCTTGTAGGACAAGACCACCGCACTTCTGGCCCACGCCTGCCTAGTAGTCCTACCATGTAGGACGGAATTAAAGAGCTTCTGACGGACTTAAAGTACAGGTTTTCCACCCGCTTTTAAAAGCTCCGCTGTAATTCCATCCTCGCTTGGGGCCTTGTTTTTTTTTACAGTGCTGGAGAGCCATTCTAATCTCGCTCAGACTGACGTCCGCGATTTCATGGGAATAGTGTGGCATAAGACTTGTTCTTGGATCGTTACTCACACTTGCGTGTAGCTCCAACGATAACGTGTACAGCCCATATATCTTAGTCTCACTCAAAATCTCAAGTGGGAACGATGCTGCCACATTCGGTCTTCAGATTCAACAGTTGGCTCTTTCTGGCAGACAGATCTCTAGCAAAAACTTTGGAACCCAGGTTCCGTTCGATCGCTTCTTCCATACGAGCTGTATTGAAGTTGCGTAAGTCCCGCCGCATGTATTGGAGATCTGTCTGTTCAGTTGCCTGTATGCTGTCAAATCTGCTGAAGACAGAACTGCAACTGCAGCTTCATTTCAAGTCTATGAGCCATGAAATTAAGAGTGTGATCTGAGAGTTTTTGTGTTCTTCTGCGACAGGTCTTGTATAGACTTT